TCCATGGCCATGAATCAGGGGCTCTAGGAAGGCCACAGGCCTCAGACCATAGCATGGGGCTGGGGGCTGATACTTGTCCCTCACTCCATGCCTGGGTTCTGAAACTCAGTGAGCACAGGTTGGTGAATGGAGGCCCTATAGAGTCAAAGATGGGTGACAGGGACCAAGGGACTCCGTGATGAGGTGTGTGGGGACCATTTCTGGCATCTGGCTGTCTCCTGGTGGAGAGGGGAGAACGGCTGGGTGCCCCTGGTCTCCTGCAGGTACCTATTAATGCAATCACAGCATAGGGCCCCCAGACAGCACCAGTGCCACTCACGAGACAGAAGTCAGTGCAGTACTGGGAAAGCAGATGTGAGGACTAGGCTGGGCATAGCAGCACCTGTGTTGCACTCAGGCTGGGTCCCTCCTGGGTGATTTGTACTAACCAACTGGCTTTTTGTGTTTGTGTGTGAGTTTGCCTGAGGCTTAGGCTCTTGTCTGGAGATGGGCAATGGACTCATAGTACATGAACCTCTAAGTCATTAGGCTCCACAGAAGACTGAATTGGTCTGTGAAGTTGAGACACTTCAAAGGATAAGGCCACAACTGAGGGCTTTGCCTCCAACTCTAGTTAATTAAAAGGAGACTGCAGCTGCAAGGCTCTACACCTCTGCAATAAATACCAACCTAAAGATAAGGTAATTCTCCTAATTGACATAATTTACTACTTGGGAAAATATTTCCCAAGGTTCCACTAGATCCCTGCATTTTCTTCAGTATTTTCCTCCTTTGTTTGTAACTGTGGGTCACCCAGAATTGTTCTTAGTCAGAATTTAGAGATTATCAAAAGCTGTGAGAGGGTTTTTTGATCCTCCTGGAAACTAAACATACCACTTGTGTTATTTATTGAAGCCTTTGCCATCTATTCTTTTGGGAGACTGTGGGCCTGATGATCCCACAATAACTAAGAGATATTACTAATCTGATAACAATCCATGCTTAGGACTGTTTTGGATTTGGGCTTGATTCTATGCTTTTTCTCTATTATCTCCTTTACTACTATGGATGGGGATTACCTCCTCCACTATAACATTATCATTTGCCTAGTCATTTGTTTCCAGAAGTTGGTTTATATAATTTACACTGTGATTTTATTTCCTGCAGCAGTTTTCCCATAGATTCTTTGGGTTCATAGGTCTGTGATCCAGCTATGTGAGACACCTTCCCTCCCGTGTTGTGCCTCCCTGTATTCTCCTGTCTGGCAGCTCTGGCTGATATCACCTACACCACACTGGCACAGTCCAGCTCAGCTGCTCTGCACCTGTGCACTTTTGCTGCTTGGGAGAAGGGCAGGCCAGATGGAGGAGCTGAGAATGGCGTGACTGAGGGGCCAAGGCCACTGTGGCTTGTGTCCTTGTTCCACTGCCAGGTCTTTATGCCATCCACACTGTAAGCTCCCATGGGCCCAGCTGAGTGCAGACATCGCCAAAACCAAGGACATACTCCCTCCTAAACACAACACCATGACTATACTCAGGAAGCCAACACTCACCAAGGCTGCTGTCTTGGTCAACCACAAAATTTGTTTATGTGCTATCAATGGATCATGCCAATAATGTTCTTTGTGGCAAAGAAAACCATGTGCACACACACACGCAGGAGCTCTTTGTGTACTCAACATATAAGTCCTTGTGTTTTGTATCTGAGATGTTTCCAAATGATTACATGTTGAAGACCTGTTCCCACCTGTGTCACACTGGGAAGTGGTGAAAGTGAGGCCACCAGAATGCAGCCTTGAAGATGTTTAGAATCTCTCTTCCAATCTCTCTCTTTGCTTCCTGGCCACCATAAAGTGAAGAGCCCTCCTCTCCCATGTCCTGCCGCCATGAAGCACTGCATATGACAGGCAATACCATGGACTAGAACCTCCGAACGCATGAGCCAAAATAAGCCTTTCCTCCTGTTGAGTCAATTATCTCAGATATTTTGTCACAGTGATGGAAGGCCAACATGTCCTTTATCAGATATGTGATTTGGAAGATCTTCTAGTCTGTGGGTGGCCTTTGTGCCTCCCTACCTCCCTTACTGCAGGAGACTGCAGTGCTCCCCAAAGTGATCTGCAGATTCAATCAAGATCTATCAAGATCCTTCCTTTTTTCCTCTCTCCCTTTATTCCTCTGTTTCTTTTTCCAGAAATGGGGAGTTGTTTTAGTCTGCTATAATAAAATAGCATAAATCAAGCAATGAAGACAGAAGCCTGTTTCCTTGCTGTTCTTCAGGTGTTAGTTTAGGGATGTGGTGCACAGGGGCTTCTCTCTGAGGTCGAGATAGTCTGTTGCAGGTGGCTGTTCTTGATTGGCCAATGATGGTCTTTTCCTGTGTCCTCACATGTCTTTTCCCTCTGTGGATACTTGTCTAATGTCCAGATTTCTTCTTGCAAAGACACAGTTGTGTTGGATTAGAGCCACCCTAATGACTTCATTTTAACTTATTCTCATCTTTCATGACCTTATGGACAAACATAGCCATGCTCTGGGACCCTGGAGACTTCACATGAATTCAGAGACACAAAGCCTGTAACAGCCAGGTTAAGGAAGTTTTTATTCATGATAGTTTGTTGATTATTTTCATCATGAAATGCTGTGGAATTTTACCAATATTTTCCTTGTGCCATGGAAATGACAGTTATTGTCCCTTATTTGTTAACAAGGTGCTGACTTGGTTTCTTGATGCGAACCTACTACGTTCCCTGTGGGCAGACCCCACACAGTCCTCGAGCACAGCTTTCCCTATGAACCTTACTACGATGTTGTAGAGGTCTGCATCCCTTGTTATGTCCACGGCTGGGCAGAACTAATGGAGTACCAGATCTGTGGAACAGACAGAGTGAACGACTCGGAAGACAGAAGTGCATCAGGAACAAGTTCCAACCAGCTCCTTGGCCCAGGACAGATGGAGGCAGAATGGGATCTTGTTTCTTGCTACAATTAGACATAGAGCCCATAGATCTTTTTGTTACTTAGAGCAGTTCAACTTTGTCAGTTGCAATGCCAGGGCTTGTGTCTCTTTAAAGTTCTTACATTAGAATCTTTAGGCCCTGTGGTGGTGCCAAGGTGAGGCCTTTGGGGGAACTAGGTCATGAGGGAGAAGCCTTGGTGAATGGATTGGTGCCCTAAAAAAGGGGCCCCAGAGTTCTCATCCCTTGCTGAGGACACAGCAAGAAGGAGGCATCTGTAACCCAGAAGGGGCTGGGCCAGGACCCTTGTGACAAAAGGGCTTAAGTTTTCATAACCCAAACTTGACAACACGCTTCTACCCAGTACTTACCAGGGATTGCATCAGCGAGGACTGAAATAGCCTAACTATAAAAACTATCCTTCCCTGGGGCTGGGGAGATGGCTCAGTGGAATAAGCACTTCCCTGGGAAGCTCAAGAGCCTGAGTTCAATCCCTGGTTCCGGGAAACAAAACAAAACAAAACAAAACAAAACAAAACAAAACAAAACAAAACAAAACAAAACAAAACCAACTATCCTTCCCAGACCTGAGCTAAAGTTTGAGGGCCTTTGCAGAAGCTGAGCAAGACTGTGACAGTTTGCAACTTTAGTGCACAACTGTAAAGCTGTGCACACTCCCAAAGGATTAACAGAAGCTGGGGTCCTTGGAGAAGATTCCCAAGACACTTAGACTAGCTATCCATACCCCTCTGCACAGGTTTATAATGACACCAGTCTCCACTGGCAAACACAGGTCCTCTTAGAAACCTGCCACCATCCCTCTGAATCATCTGAATAACCCTTTTTTTTCTGAATCCCTTGTCTGTTGGTAAATAGTTTTTATCATTTGCGTCACTGGCCCTCTGTACCCATCCTACATATGTGTGAGAAGTGGATTTCTCTTGATAGTAGCCACCCAGTGTGGGGCACTTTGTAACTAGCCCTGCATGGATCAGTACCTTGGTTTCTGTTAATCAGACCCATTAGAACTGTTACTAATTACCTCATCAGAGAATATTTTACCTAAGGAAAAAATATTTTAAATGTTTGAGGAGACAAAAATTCAGTAAGTTAAAAAATAAACCACATTCTCTAGTTAAGTGCCAAAAATGTTTTAAAAGCATTAGTAAAAAATAGGGCAAGCCTTTGAAGGGGATGGTGGGATCCCTTACTTCCATGAGTGCTGTCATGCCCTGCATGCAAGGAGCCAACCTGCCATGGATATGAAGCTGTGAGGCTGTGAGCTAGGGCAAACCTTTATACTCTTTCCAAGTTTATGGTCTCAGGTATTTGTCATGGGTATGGAAGGTGAAACTTATTCCTTTCAAAATGATTCTGGGGCTGGGGAGATGGCTCAGTGGAATAAGCACTTCTCTGGCAAGTGCAAGGGCCTGAGTTCAATCCCCGGTTTTGCCAAAAAAAAAAAAAAAAAAAGATTCTGCACCTAACTTTGCAGTGTGTCTTTTATAGTCCATGTGTCCTGGGTCAGGCATAGGGACTGTCTTATCATGGACTCAGTGTCTGTAAAGTCACCGCTGACCTGTCTCATATGAACTTGGAACTGTCTGCTCAGGTGGGAGGTGCTTTTCTATAGTTCTGACCATGTCCAGGCTGGTGTGTGGCTGTGCCTGGGATAGTGAGTTCACCCTAAGCCAGAGCAGCATCTGTGCAGGGGAGGCTGTACGAGGCCTGTCCCATGCACGCTGCACTAAGCTCAGGTGTGCTCGCTGATTCTGGGGTCACACAGAAGAGGCACATGATACAAAGGACAAGATTAGCTGCAAGTTCGGGTTGCTGACTCATGCAATTTTTGTTTTTGTATGTGATTGTACAAATGAAGAGAGCTTAGAAAAGTAGTAGAGAGAGTGAGAGTAACCTTAATTTGTGGCTGAGAGGAAGAACCCAGGTTCAAGACCACAGGCTGCCTGGTGGCCACAGGTGTGTAGAGCAGAGAAGAGCCAGAGGCAGAAGGGCATATAACATTTATTAACTCCAACAATAAGTGCCAAGGGCTTTGGGGTGCTACCATGAGATACTCCAGGTAGTAGACCAGCAACGTCTGCCCCCACCCTGTTCTTCAGGTCACCCCCAAGCCCTTCCTCTCCCAGGCACTCTCTGTAGGTGCAGGAAAGACACCCTGACTCTAGCACATGACTTGGGGTAGAAATGTGAACCCAGACAGCAGGGCTCTGAGGGGAAACTGAGTCAGCATGATAAGCGAGAACAGGGTGTCCAAGTGTGGAGGAGAGCAGGTCACAGGAGGTACTGCCAAAGCAGCCAGCTCTTAAAACAGACAGTCACACTGATACTGAGGAATACGTTTCTAAGATGCCACACACAGGAATACCATGAAGCATTAAAGTAACCAGCACAGCATGCGGACTCAGGGATGGGCACAGCTAACTCAGGGTGGGGGTGTGGATGTCTGTGCTGTATCCATAGCACATGTGGGCTCTGCTAGTAAAGAAAATGCTCTATTCATGTTTACGAGGAGGGGCAGTCGGCCGGTGAGACTGCAGGCTTGAGCGTCAGGTATGCAGGATGGAGGGTCCTGGGTGGGATTAAAGTGCACCCATCCCGGTGACCTCGGATGTCAGCCTGGAATAAACACAGGCACACAAGGGGCCTCATGAGGCAGTCAGCAGTGAGGCAGGCAGGGTGACACCCTCACCTCCATGTGTCCCTGGGTCCCCTCAGGAGCCACAGTGTGTCAGAGAACAGCACAGTCTGGTGAGAGGTCTTTACCTCCACCTGTCACTGTGTTATGCTGTCCCTGACAGGTGCTGTCAGTCTTCTGAGCCTCCCTCCCCTAGCTGAGAAGGGCCTCATGTTTGACTGTGCGTGTGAGAGGGGTCAGAATCCTGTACCACTGGAGCAGGTTAGAGCAGTGCTGCTGCCCATGGGGAGGCAGATGCATGCTAGGCGTGGGAAATCTGGACTCCTTCCATGCTCTACCACTCTACCCAACCATGTAGATAGAAGGTGCCAGACTGATCCTGCGGGTGCCAGTGGATGGAAAGCAGGAGATGGACAGGGAAAGTCAGGGTTGGGTGTCCTGGTCTGCTCTTGGCAATTCACCCCTTGATGGCCTGGAGCTCAGCACCAGGACTGGAAGATTGGTAGCCTGTAGGGCTTTCTGTCCACCAGTGGTCTGGCTGGGAGCATGTGTCCTTGTGATGCCTGTGTGCATCTCAACTCTCAACTCTGTGTGTTGGGTGTGAGTCATAGTAGGCCCATCATGGAAGTAACAAGCCAGCCTTGTCCTGTTCCCAACCTAAAATGAGTGGGAAGAGGGAGAACAAGACAGCAGAGGCCTAGTCATCAGTGCCCCTAGATCCATCCATGTGGTAGAGGGGCAGTCTAGGGACCTCCTCCTGGCCACCCTACATGTCTCTTGCTCTAGTGTCCTGGCTCCTTAGAGATGACTGTCAGTTGAGTGGGGTGGCCATGTCTACATGGAGACCATCTCTGTAATAGCTGTCCCTAGGTCCAGCCAGGAAGGTGAGAGTGGCTGGGCACTCACCTGATTTCACTGTCTAGGCCATGATGCGGGGCCCCTGGATGATCCCCAGCCTGTCACTTACCTGGCATTGATGAGATACTGAGCAAGGCTGATGTTTGCCGGGGTCCCTGTGATGGTGATTTGACGCTCTGATGACCCCTCAGTGGCATTGGCGATTTTGATCTGAGCCCCGGACATCTGACGAATTTCATTGATTTTGGTCCCTTGGCGTCCAATTATGCAGCCTATTAGCTAGAAAAAGGATGGGGGAAGTTTCTTAGAGGAAAACCCAAGATAGTTCTATAGGATACCTATAAGAGCCTCTGGTTGCCCAGGAGGACAGGGTACTGGCCCTGGTCTTTACCCTTGTCCTGGAGCTCAGTGTTCCTGGGATGAAGGGGTGCTGCCAGGCTGGGCCCTCTGCTTAGAACCCTCCCATGAAAAGTCCACCAGACCAACAGATGGTGGCCACATGTCCTCAATCTTTCAGTCCTGTCAAGAGTGGCCAGAGATGGGCAGGACAGAGACTGAGTCAGGACCTGGTGGTGGTCGAGCCAGGCTAGCACCTTCTTGGCTGCTCCTTAGGATTGAAACAGCTTTGTTCCAAGAGTAAGCATCATATGCACTGCTCGAAGGAGGATGGGATGCACATTAACCCAGAGAACCTGTCCTTTGTGAGCTCAGATGAAATTCTGACAGCACATCAGGCACTTACTTCCTTTCTACTCTGTGACCTGAAGTGGTGATGCAGTGTTCTTTGGCTATAGAGGTTGTCAAAAGTAGGGCCTCTGAAGTAGCCCGGGCAAGGGTAGGGACACTTGGGCATGGGGACACCAACCTGGAGGTCAAGGCCTTCCTCTGGCAGCAGCTGCAGCTGTGTAGGCTCCTCCAGGCCCACCTTGCTGTTTTGGTAAGAATACATTGGACTCCAGAAAGACTCTGTAGAGGGGCCAGCTGCCATACCTCAACTTTTACTATGGGTGAAACAGAATCTTTACAGCCATATATGGGCAATGCTGGTATGAGAACAGGAAAAGGAGGTGGCCAGACAGGATGTGGCCAAGAGCTGCAGCAGTAGGCATGTGCTATCCTGGATGGCTTAGGTGCTCTTGCCCCCGTGGGCACAGTCAGGGTTGTGCTGAGGTTAAAGATCAGCAATATCCCCTGCTCCTGTGTGTATTGCAGTGAGATATCACACAGAAGGGCCAGGTGGGCTGGAAAATGGCGTGGGACAGAGAACTCACTTTAAAGCTTCTGACAGCAATAAGGCACCTGGGTGGGACCAGGTGCTACATGAACTGGCTCATGTCCTTAGGAAACCTTCAGGGTATTCACACTGCTCACTTTGCAGACATTCTCTGCTGAACCTAGATTAGGACCAGCTCTCACTGGATCATGATAATCAAGTCCTTGTGAGCACAGAGGGAAACTTCTGCCCCTGAGATCCCTGAGTTCTTCAGCTCCTTGGTCTCCTGCCAGCACTTCTGAGTTTCACCCACTGTGCTCAGGCCCCACCTATAATTAAAAGGCCCTACTGAAAGCCTACACCTCTGAGCTCCCTTATCTTTTTTCCTGCTCACATCTGAGTCCCTTGTTCTGAGTGTGCCTAGCCCAAGATCAGAGAGTGTGGCTTGCTAACGTGCAAGGCCTCACTAGCCTGTTTGGCTGTGTCCCCTCACATTGACACAAAGATGGTTGGGACTCATCTTTTACAGCACCAGACATGAGACCTAGAAAATGTGTGACCAAGAGTACCTGCAGACACCTGTGTGCAGGGGGAGCACACTGCCCAAGCGGAAGCCCCATGCCCCTCCTCCTCTCCCAGCCACTCCTGCTCTCTGTCCTGGCATCAATCCACTTGGGTGTGGGTGGCACTTTCTGACCTCTCAGGTGTCCATTGCTCACCTGTTGTGAGCACAGAGCTTACCCAGCAGCTAAGGGGCACCCAGTCTGTTTCCTGACTATACTTTTCCTTCCCTCCTAGGGCATGAATGGAGGGCAGTTCCGCCTGCTGCTCCACCGTCAGAATAGGCCCATCCCAGCACCAACGGTCCATAGCCAGTGGCAACTCAGGGTGACCTCCCACCTGGCTTCCCCTGAACCTACAGATCCTGCCTGCGATATACAGCCCCAAGCTCACTGTGTCTTTAGTTTTGCATCTATCTCTCCATTAAAAATTTAAAGAAAAGCACAATGTTCTGGAGCAACTAGGTGTTGCCAAACTCCACAGGAAAGGCTCTTGGTGTTGAGGACAGAGCACAAGAGCTGAACACCAGAGGCAAAAAGCAGAAAGCAAGCTCTGAAGTCGCCATGGGGAGGCCCATGGTGACTGTCAGGAGTGGACCAAGGGCCAAGCCTGTGTCTCCAATGCCCTGCTGTGCACTTGTGAGTGCACACAACCTGTCATCAGTGCCTTTCTGCATCTGAGCTGAGTGACCTGCAGACTGGCACGATCCACTGTGACCATGGACCAGACCTATGGCCAAAGTGATGGGGGCACAAATCCATGATTGGCTTCTTGGTCTCTATGAAGGTGGCAGGTGGCTGGTGTTTGAAGCCCACCATCCCTGAGAGATCTGGGTTGGCAGGAAGCCATCAAGGGCCCTCCACATAGGATGGCATGTTGCAGAGAGTACTGGGTGATGTTGGATGCCTTCCTTCTGAGCAGCAGGCTGTCCTCCCAAAGAGAGCTCAGGTAGGAGACAGGGCATGCAGCCTTAGAGAGCAGGCTCCATATTCTAGCTCTCCAAGATGCCCCATCTGTGTATTCCTTAAGTTCATTTCCACTTTACAGTGAATGCTAGGATTAGAGCAGCTTTTCAGATGCTAATGGAATAGCGCTGTCAACAAGAGGTCCAAGGAAAGGCCCCACTTAGGGAGCATGCACAGCATTTGTCACTTGGGTCCTAAAGGGCACAGAGCTGAAAACTCTATCCTTCAAGGATGCTGGGGCAGATGACTCTGTCAACTCAGCCCAAGTTAAAAAACATTCCTGGGAGCTAAAGGCTGTTCAGTGATGGTGCTTTGTGTCAATGTTGTGCAGCTCTATACAGACAGGGCCTCTGTGCCTGTTAGCAGCAAGAACAGGAAGCTTGGAGCAGCTCTGCTGCCTGTGCAGAGGCTGCCCCTCACTCTACCATAAGCCCCAAGAAAGTCAGCAGCATGGCCAGAGTTTCGTGGCCTCCACTGTTTACTGCTTTCCTGGCTCCTGCCCTGAAGCCCTATAGCCTACTATCCAGACTCAGGAAGAAAGCCTTACAGCAACCAATTCCAACTACCTGCAGTGGCTCTCGTAGGGAAAGGGCAGGATCCAAGTTTCCTAACCAGCTGGACCAAGTGGTAGAGCAGGGAAGGTTCCTGAGAGTACAGCTCCACACACAGCGCACATGAATTGGAGAGGGGACAGCCATTGCATGGCCCACAGAGGACTCTTCTTCCTGGTCTCTCAGCTTGGAGATGATCCAAGGATTTATGGAAGTGTCCTCCTGCTCAGCCCAGGAGGATTAAGGGGAAGGCCTGTGGCTTCCAGCCCACTTCTGGTCTGCTGGGCCAAAAACAGAGTCCCAAGCCTCAGAAGAGGAAGGCCTGGATTGGCAGCAGTGAGGAGAGCCTACTGAGGACATTCCTGGGTCATCCTGCCCTTCAGGGTTAGACCTCAAGCCAGGACAGTGACTTCCCAGCTATACCCTTGATGAACCCTGAGGTCACCAGTGCCCCTTTATTGTTTGGTACCTTACAGTGTAGAATCACACATTTTATAAACATTAGACCAGTGTAAAATGGAAAAAAAATAGGAAAGAATCAAACAGCAGTCAGGGCCACAAGGTGTCACTAAGTAGTTGGTGGCAGCTGCTCTTGCCTGGCCTTTTGGTGGCAGGACAGGAGCTGGACAGGCAGACGCAGGGTATACTCACATCATTGGGAATGGTGAGCTCATGAGTGCTGGCCGGAGGGCTGGCATCCAGACCTGGGCACACCAAGGGTACAGGGTTAGGCTGGTGGCAAGGATACTCATGTTGCACCTCAGGCTGGGTGAGGTGGGGTGAAGGCTGGCCCAAGGCCCTCTGAGCTCCCAGCCCCATGACAGCCCAGCCTCCTGAGCACCAGATTCTGTCAAAAGGAAATGGGGCCCCAGCACAGTGACTTTTCACTCCTCACTCTGGCACATTGTGCCTGTGGCCCCATTTGTGGCACCTCTCCCTGGGCAGGAGGATGTCTACCACATCTTGGGTTTCAGTGGTACTCAGGGCACAGGCCACACTGTCACAATGAAACCAAGTGCCCATCCTCACAGGATACCTTCTTGGCTCTGAGCATTGTTCTGCTTTCCTTTGCACACCTCTGTCTCATGGCCCTGCTGCAGGTGGCTGGCGCCAGAGTGGTGCTGTTGATTAATCCTGCCCAAAGGCTGCTAGACAATTGGAGCAGCCAGGCCCACGCAGGGCTCAGTAGCCTGAAGCAGGGAGACCTGATCACCAGCTTTAGCTCCATCAGAGGAGCTGCTAGGCCAGTGAGAGGCCACATTTCTGTGTAGACCTCTTTTTTATATTGAAAAATGAGGATGGGATCTAGGTTATCACCAGGCCCAGGTGGTTGTCCTTGCATGGATCAGATTATATCACCAGGTAGCAGTTTCTCAGGAGTCCATAGGCAAGCTCATCCCTGCCCCTGAAACATGTAAAACAGCACAGAGGGCCCAAGCTGGAGTCATGGCCCCTTCAGGGCATTTTCTGGTGATGTGGCTCTGACCAAAGTCTAGAACTAAACCTTGCTCTTATCTCTCCTAGGCCCTGAGAGGGCCCAGGCATCAGGGTCAGTCAGACCCAGGCTCAGCATCCCTTCCAACCACTAGCCAGCAAGTTCTGCCCTTGAGGTATCCCAGAACTGGCCCTCCACTGGACTCCTGCTGTGCCTCCTCTACCCTTGCACTCAGTCTCATCTCCACAGACCTGGGCAGTCCCTCAAACAACCTCAGCAAGCTCCTGTCTCCTCAGGGTGCACCTTACTCTCCAGCTCTGTGTGCAGTCTCTCTCATTTCCCCCTAGCCCCTAAGAATGTGCAGCCTTTAACCTGCTGAAGTGACCCTGTGGGCAGGTGTCCAGCACAGTGGGGATAGGTGGTGGTGTGCAGCGAACCAACTCATCCCTGATTTTGTTTTCTTTGGCACATCTAAACTGGAGTTTCTGTTGTTTCTCATTTTACTAACAATCTTTTCAATACAATAATAACTACACACACCCTAAAAATGGTGACATCTAACACAGCATATGGAAGATTTCTCAGTCCTATCTGAACCCTGGACAGGAGCTCTAGGTTGGCTCAGCATGAGCACGGAGCAGCTATGACACATATGGGATCTGGCAAGCTGACGGGGAAAGTAAAGTGGCAGGCCCTTTTTAAGGAGCACTAAAATTAAACAGGCAGTTTAGCACACAGCTATTGAAAGTAGTGCTCATCTATCTTGGGGAAGTACAGCCCCAGAGTCAGTGCTTTCTCATGGTGGTGATAGCCCAATGTGAGGAAGAAGGCCAGTCCCTCAGAACCTGCAGAGAAAGCCCTCAAGAGCTCACCCTCCTCAAGCTTCAGGAAGGCCACACCTCTTGCAGAGGCCACATCTCCTCCAGAGGCAGTACCCTCTCCAGTTTACACCCAGCATAGAACAGTCACTGAGGCTGCACCCTGCAAGGCCACATCTTTTCACACCCTCTTCACCCACACTGTGACCAGGCTGTGTGCCCTGCTGGTCTCTGGGGGCCTTGGTGAGGATTGTCATCCTGGTAATCAAAAGCCAACCTGGGGTGGGGAGCCCCAGTGTTTTCCTAACAAGAATTCAGGGAACTCTCTCTGCTGCTGGACAACTGTTCTTTGACCCCTTAGTCCCTGAGCTTACAGGTCTGTGTACCACACACAGTGCATGAAGAGCAAGAGTCTTACTGCCATGGGGAGAAGGTCCAACAGATCAGTGTAGTCAAGACTTGAAGGAAACACATTTTTAGAAGCACACATTGTTCACCGCTTCATTATGTGCCCCACATGCTTTATTCATTACCTGAGAACAAGGATCGCACAAACTGCCCTCCCTGATTAGGCTACCTGTGATATGGGGGTCAAGCTCTGAGCATGCTAGAGCCCTAGTCCAGCAGATGTGCCTGCTGTGGCTGGGCTCCAGGGAGCTGTGTGTGGCTGAAGATGTGGTGCTGGGCACATGGGTTTGTCCCAAAACACCGTTTCCTGTGCTGGCCTCCCTGGCTGCTCTCCCACCCACAGGTCTGCTTTACCTGACGACTGGCCCATCAGATTTTGAGCTTCTTCGGAGGAGTGTAAAGGCAGCTTTTCTCCTGGAGAGCAAAGAAGAGAGAGGTTTAATGTTTTGCCCTCAAGGAGATAAGCAAGGTCCCTTCAACTAGGGAAGCTCAAAATATGACTGGCGCAGTGCAGCTGACTGCGTGTCCAGTGTCCTCTCCAGCCACAGCTGGACAGCTCTGCTTCTGTGAGAGGGACCTGCTGCTCTGCTGCCTCATGTGGGCCTGGGTTGGGGCTGGCTCCTGTCACCGCTTTTCTGCAATTGTAGTGCCTGCTCCTGGGCTGGTCACACAGAAGCCTTCACAGGAAGGACTACTGATGTCTGTGGGCAGCACAGAATGCTGCTGCACAGACACCCTCAAAGGTAGATGTTTCACAGGCAAGGTGTGCAAGACCAGGTGACATGAACCAGCCCACATAGTGAGAGACTGATCCCTGCCCGGCCACAGCCATGTGACAACTGTGCCGCTTGCTGCACCGCTGCACTGTGCAAGGATAGCTCTGAGAAAAGTCCCCAGGTGAGAAGAGAAGGAGGTCAGAAAAGGGCAGCTGGGTACGTACCGGGGAAAGCGGGGTTGGTCTGTCCGAGGGGAGGAAAGGGGGTTTGCTGCATGGCCAACTGGTGGAGCTTGGTCAACTGCTGGGGGTAGGAGGGACATGAGAGCTAAGAAGGTTATCATCATTGAGTACAAGTCACACCAAATTAAAAACGAAGTAACAGAACTTTGCACAGATAGAGAGGAGCCATGCGGACACATGGCAGACGCAGCAGGACTCAAGGACTTGGCCTGGGGGAACCAAGGAGTGCCATCAGCAGCGTGGCCCTAACCAGCCACAGCTCCCTTACCAGATTGGTAGGAAGGGGGCTGGTACGGGGTGTGGGCCGGGGCTGCAGGCAAGGCTGAGGTTCACAGTGTGGCCAGTGGGGTCCTAGAAAGCTTGCACTCACACTAGCTCCTGTGGGGTCCAGAGAGGCTGTCTCCAGCCTCACCCTGGTCCCTCTCCTGCAGAAATCTCTAGGCAGCTTCCTGACTGTGCCTTGCATGGCATTATAGGGTATAAGGGATGCCAAGGAACCAGTTGGGCTCTCCTCTGGGAGTAGCCCACAGGCTTCATTTCTTAGGTTAAAGTGGAATGGTGAAAATAGGGTAAGTGTAGTCAGATTAGGCTACACCTTAGGAGCAAAGGTGCTGGCAGGGTGCTGGGAATTCTTCCATCCTTTGCAGGGTAAGGGGCTCTGGAACACAGTACCCTCAGAGTTGGGCCTGGATACTTGTTTCCAGTGCTGGACTTCAGGGCTGGTAGGCAAGGTGACTATGTATGCAGAGAGGGGCAGGACACATAAGGAGTGGAGCTACTGTTCCCAATGAGTGGCTAGCTGTGGACTCAGGTCCCTGGATCCTAGAGACTACGCAAGGCAGTGCCCCACCTAGACCATGAGCTCCTGTAGGAATGGGCATGTGGCTTCAGGTGCAGGGCACCCCTGCCAGGAATTGGGCCCCCAGTCAAGTGAACTCCTTAGTCCTGAGAGGGTCAGGAGCATCCCCCAGTCCCTACAGAGGAGGGAGTATAGTAGGAATGGGGCCTCTAGGCACTGGCTGGCCAGCTGCACACTTCCCATTTTTGCAGGAGGTCTCAACAAAGCAGGCCACCTGTGGCCCCATGGCCACACCTTGGGATAACTTTGTTGGATGAACTCAAAACTGCAGTAGAAGCTAATGGGGCAGTTGGTCTTTCCTAGTTGGGATCCCTGAGCCCTAGCCCTCTCAGAGGGCTGGTTTCTGCTTTCTCTGGGAACAGAGCATGTGCCCACACACAGACATTGTGAAAGTAGTCCCCTAATGCCCCCACTTGTCCCTCTGCATTTTAAGCTGTTTCCGGGGCCTTGAAGCTCAATACTAGGGCTCAGGAAACTTGGACCCAATCAGGATTCCTAAAGCAGCTCCAATGACAGGCATGGTGATCTGGGGTCAGCTTCAGTTCTGAGTTCCCTCAGAGTTCACAGACGGGAAGGTTCATGGCATAGTACTGCCTGACAGGGCACAGCACCAGCTGCTAGCCCCAGGCAGATGAGGCCCAGGGCAGACATAACCTATGTTCATGTCTGCCCTGTGACTCAACACAGTTGGCACTTTAGCTACCTGAGTGATATGGTGACCAGGGGCCAGGATGTCATTACTAAGATACCAGTCCAAGTCACAGCAATAGGTGAGGGGTAGGCCTGAGGGGCAGCAAGAGGGAGGGAGAAGACTATACTCCTGGACATGAGTGTCACAGAGCACCCTGAGGTTGCAACCTTCAGTGAGCTTTGGCCACCACGTGAGTGTCCAGGAGAGGATGGTACATGACCTGTGAGTGTATGGCAGTCTGGGGATCCCTGGCAGCTGCACACTACCACACCTGCTATTTCTGTGCCCTGTGTCCTTTGTCTGCTCACAATGTGCCAATCAGGACAGCCTCTTTCATTCACCTGGTGTCTCCAGTGACCATATGGCCTGCGTGCAACAGGATGGTAGGGAGCTGGACACCTGGTGAAGGGGCAAGGCAATTGGTCTACAACCAGCATGTGAGAAGGGAGCCCGCCATCTCCTGGGCCTTGGCTCCCTCATGTGTATGTGGAGGCTGTGAACACAGCTTGTGTAGTGTGGTCCATGTGTCAGCTGTGGGAGGCATCACCAACCTCTGTGGGCCTCCCTCACCCACTACCACATACCTGTCCAACTTTTTTTTTCTGCTGTCCACACAGGTAATGCTCCCCAGTAGCTTGTTATAGGCAAATCAAGTCCTGGCAGAGTCAGCGCCTCTGGTATCCAAACTCAGACATTCAGAAGCTCAGCAGTTCAGCAACTCTAACCTTTCTTTTTGCAATGTTATTATTATTATTGTTATTATTATATTTTCTTATTGTACTTAAAATTAAACTCAGGACCTTCACATGGACCTACATCCCTAGCATGTTTTTAGTTTGAGATAGGGAATTGTTAAGTCCTTAAATTGTCTGGGCGTGGCTTGGATTTTTGACCTTTCTGCCTCAGCCCCCAAGAGTGCCAGGATTACAAGCATGTGCCATAGTATCTGACCACATTTTCTGCTTTTTATGAAGAAGTAGTCACACTAGAAAATCAATGTCTGCTTTATGAATGTAAAGTGATGTCACAGGTGAAGAATGGGCCAGCATGTGGTGGTGATGGGTGGGCACTGGCTGGGCTAATAGGTAGGCAGGGTTAGCAGCACCTTCTTGTCTTGGCTTATTTCATCTCTTGGGAGCTCTTTTTCCACACTTTCTAAAGGAGAGGACAACACTAAGTGCCAAGGGGCCTTCCATTCCTTGAAGTATTTCTGCCATTTAAAAAAATCATACTTTTGGCTCCAGTGCCTCCAAATCATTGGCAAGGGACGGACAGAGGAAGAAGGGAGGAAAGAAAGAGAGGCAGGAGGGATGGGAAGGAGAGAGAAGGCAGTATGTGTGCTTGTTTCATATTCAGTAGTTTTCTGTGGCTCTTTTCCATTTGACATTACATCAGAACACAAAACACAAAGTGCTTGTAAGCATATGCTTCAATGAGTTACCCAACACAGCCCTACACAGCTATCCTGGGTCAGGCAACAGGCCTTTGTTTAGCCTGGCCCTCTCCTGAGTGCTGCCTTTCACGAAGTGCTCCTGCACCCAGCGAAACTTCTTGGAGGCTGGTCCTGCAGTTGCTCCTGAGTACACAAGTCTTCTGTCCTATGGTACCTCAAGGAGCACATTTCTAAGGGTTCAGTGAATTCAGGTTCATTAACACCTTTCCTTCTGCTCTTGGTCTGTTTCAAGAAATCCTGACCCAAGAACAAACAGGGCATGACCCTGTGTCTTCTAAACATGCCCTGTTCTTCTCTCACACTAATGTTCTGTATACACAGAACAGGTTTTACCTGTCACAGCAATGTGCTTTCTGTCCTCTGCTGGGTCTGCCCTGAGGACCTGGTCACCAAAGTTTTTCTCGACCATGAAGATCCTGAGGTCTCTGTTCTCTTCTTGTCCTCAAACTGCACTGTCCCAGTCACCATGACCTAGGAGTCCTGGTCCTGCAAATTCCCCATTACTCTCCTCATGAGTATCTTGATGATTCTGGATCTATGCTTTTCCACATAGCTTTTCTCTTCACCCCCAGAACTGGGGACTGATCGGGCCCTGGGATAATGGTAGGCAAGAGCTCTATCACTGAGTCATGGCCTTATCTTCTATATACATTTTAAAACAGCATGTTAACATTAAAAAAAAAAAAAACCTCCAAAGAACACCTTTGGATTTTGATTTGAATTGTATTGCATTTATGTTTACAATACTTAGTGCTTCTATCCATGAATATGATATATCTCTTCATTTAGTCTGACCTTTTGCTATTATTTAACTTACAATAAAAGAAAGGCACATTTTTTAAAAAGTCTGTTGTTACTGATTTCAAACCTATTGCTTTGAGAAAAGAGCATGGCTTATACGATTTCAGTCTTTGAAAGGCATTGACATATATTTTAAAGCCTAGTTTGTGAGTTTGTCAATGTTTCTGGGTTAGGTGGCACAATCAGTATGTGTGTTAAGTGAGACCTCTCCTAGGTGTGGGTAGCATCTGTACTCTGCTCACTTGATCTGTCATTCACAGATACCAAATTCTCCCTCAGATTCCCTTTGATCAGTATTTTCCTAGCATATCTACTTCCATCATTTTAATTTTTGGGAAACCTTACATCATAGGTATGTCTTTTACTTTATTTATTTATTTTTGTATTTTAGGGAAGGGTCTACAGGGTGTTCAGGGTCTCACTACTAGATCGGACTCATAATGATCCACCTGTTTACAGCCTCCCAGGAGCTGGGATTAGAGGCACGCTCCACCATGCCCAGTCTCAATCGCACCTCAGCACGCCCCAGGGGCGGGGCTGGCACCTCAGGCCTGGAGGATGAAACCCAGGCCCCTGTGCCTGCTTGTAGGCACTTTAACCTGCTGAGCTATTTGGCTGGCCCTTAGGTATGTCTCTTAAAAGAACAAATTTCCCTGTTTGTGTAGCTAGCTTTTCTACTTGTTTAGGTTTTTAAAAATATAGTTTGACAGCCTTTTTTTTTTTTAGAAATTAAAAAAAATTGTTTTAAATCATTTATCTGTTTATTTTATACAGGGTCTTGCTACATAGCTCAGACTCATAGTGATCCTCCTGTCTCAGCTTCTATTCTCTTGGGATTACAGGCACGCACTACCATTCCTGGTTTTGGAGGCCAGTATTGTGTGCCCAGAACTAGGAATGGCATGGCATGTGGTACTGGGGATCAAACCCTGGTCCTTGTGCTTTCTAGGCAGGCACTTAGACTGCTAAGTTATCTCCCCAGCCCCAGCCTTTGTTTTTTAACAGAAAAATTTCATTCTTTTACTTTGATCATAGTTATCCATATACTTAGATCAGTTCCTGCCACCTTATTTTGTACTTTCTAATAGTTTTTGCTTTTCTATGGCTTTCCTTTTTCTTTCTTTTTTTTGCGGAACCGGGGATTGAACTCAGGCCCTTGTGCTTGCCAGGGAAGCGCTTATTCCACTGAGCCATCTCCCCAGACCTCCTTTTTCTTTTTAAAAAATTCCTTTTCTTTTGAACTTTCCCCTCTTCACT